TGAATGGATGGTCATAGCAACATAGAGTACTCACTAAATGGATGGTCATAGCAACATAGAGTACTCACTGAATGGATGGTCATAGCAACATAGAGTACTCACTGAAGACTTCTTATTGTTTATATTTGATCGTATTTGATTTGAAATTGGTGCCCATCTGACAGTCAGTTTGGACACCACAGCAGCCATCTTGAAAATCCAGTAATAACTAATCCTAAATGGTAAGTCATATTGAAATGAGATTTTTCACCAGAAAATGTGATGTTTAGTTCGTCCTAAATGCATACTTGTCAACCAATTAGCTTTTGGCAAAATCATTTACACAATTTTCCACTAAATTTATTTTATGCTGGCCTGTATCTGGATTATGCATTTTTAGTACATTAAAAAATAAAAATTAGCTAATAAAAAGTTGTGGGTTTTTTTTTATTACCCTCGAATACATTAAAGAATATTCTTAAAAAGATGACTGCTTTGTAATAATAGAGTAAGGCTACTTTCATTGTTTGCTGTTTATCACAACTGTATATGACCCTTTGCAAACAAAACTGTTTGTGTGTGTGTGGGTGAGAGGGGGGGAATGTGAGCAGATTGATTTTTTCAAAGTTCAAAATGTGTCAATCAGATAAAAATTGCAAATCGACTCCACTTTGCCAACTTTAGAAGAAGACTACAAGAGTAATGTAATAAGCACAAGCTTATGCTCAGTTCCAGTTCATGATCATTCAGCAAAAGTTAAAGTGAGTGTTGAATGTAGATAATTTTTCAGTATATTTTGTGACTGAATTCTGATTCTAATCCATAAGGCTTTGTTCCTTTGTGACAGGAATTTTGACCAGCTGCAGAACATGGTTAGTAGCAAAAATAAACATTTTTTTGCATGTGCTGTAATTCTAACATGTAAAATATAGATTATACTTTTTATTCCCTAATTACACACTTTTACCACTTGTAATAGCAATAATTATGTTTATAACCTCTCGTGGGTGGGATGGTGTGGTGGCATTTGTGTATGAAAAATGGGTGTAAATTCAGACACCACAGCAGTCTTCTTCAAAATCTTATTTCTCCAGAATGAATAGGATTTTCAACATATAGTTTTTATTGAGAGACTAATTGTGAAGTCTAGTTTGTCCCAAATGAAAATTGTGGTATTCAGACATCCAGTATGCTGACAGTGGCCATCTTGAAAATCCAATATGGCTACCACATGGTAGCCATATTGAAAATGTTATTATAAATTATTCAAAACAAAAAGCCATATTCCCACCAAAATTGGTGTCTTGTTGGTCCTAAATGAAAATGGAGTATATCTGTTATCCGTAGCAGCTATAACAACTGTTTGTTCTCATTTAGCATTTGATTTCTGTGCTCGTTCTTAAGATGATGAGTATGACAGCAGTACCGATTCCAGTAGTTGATACGTTACGATCAAATGCCAGCCTTTACTTGTTAAAATCTTGACCTGGTTGCATAATTGTGTAAGCACGAGAACCAGTCAGGACCAATTTAGATATGGTGTCGAGTGTTTTATGGAACCTCATCCTAACATTAATATTATTTAATAAGCCATCGTTTAGGTTGAATTGATTTGTAGGTGACAGTGCTTAGGTATATGAAGCAATATGATACTGCCAAAATGATTATAAATTAAAGTATAAAAGCTATGTTGGGCTTATGCATTTTCATCCATAGCCTGGTCCTGTTTTAACTAAGTTTTCCCCATCACATTTCGATTGAATCTTTTTTTGAAGTAGTAGTTTTTGAAGATTTGCGTTTATCAACGTAGTGTCAGTCAAGCAGATTTTATATTGTGTGTAATGCTTTGTTTACATGACTGGATGGATAAATCGAAAAATGTATATTGCTTATAAATGACTAATTTTCCAGGTGTATCTAATTAGATATTATTATTATTATTATTATTATTATTATTATTATTATTATTATTATTATTATTATTATTATTATTCGTGCAAAGACGTACAACTGTAGGCCAAAGTTGAATATTCAGTTAGCACTTGCCTCACAAACTTACCAATTAATGCTAATTTTACTCTAAATAACAATAGGTACTCCTGTCATTTCATGTTTTTGTGTGTCAGAATTTTGTTCAAATGACAGATGCATACTTTAATGTCATGCAAAACAAAGTTATCGGGCATTTGTCTCTTTCCGTCTTCTTCGGTCTGCCTGATATCAGCAAAAACATTGCTGACAATTTGTCCACAGAGTAATCAATGTGGCCCATCAAAATAATATGCTTAGTAATTTCAGAAGACAATTATAATGAACTTAAACGTAGACCAACACGTGAGTTTCTATATTACATACAACATAATATTTCAGCTCATTATTAAAATCACTTTCTCCTGCGCAAACGACAATTGTGTGTCTTCTTAATCACGCGATTTTTGTGTACGATTATCCTTGAGAACAGATCTCTGCATGGGGCACTATTGTTTTATATCTGTTTTTATACCCCACAGAGTTTGTTGGTAGTGTTTTGACCGATTTAAAGAATAAATGAAACATCTCGGGGTATAGAAATTGCATGTTAATAAAGCTTATTTATGGAAATAATTCATTGCCAGGCACCGATTTAGTGCAGGATAACACGATTTCAGGTTCCCCTTGTCAAAGATATATATCGGTTACGAATCGATAAGTACCCTGCGATTATGTCAGTTTTGGTAAATAAACAAAATGTCACAAACTAATCAACCCTTATCCGGACCTGGATTCAGTTAGAGAAACAACTAAACAACGTACTAATCCAACTCACATTTCCAGTGGGGCCATAAGGGTAAATGGCGCCCTGAACCACGATGAAGACCTAGAAGGTTTTGGCTCATCAAGACCTCTGGCGTACCCCTTCCCCCAACCCTCGTTAGTACACTGCTGCACGTTTCTGCAAGAGGGCAATAATAATAATAATAATAATAATAATAATAATAATAATAATGCGAGTTTCATATGCCTTTGATACGTTTCAAAGTTTCATGGATAGTAACCGTTGCGAATTTCTGTGGCTCTAGTATTTTGTAAAATGCATTCGAATTCTCGAACGCGCCACAGCAGTCATTTGCATGAGAGTTCTTCTTTAGAGAGATGCATAACATATACAGTGAAATGAGGATATTTCAGTTCGATTCCGAATAATAAAACCCTCCGATCTTTGCTACCATTGTTTTGCATTAGGCGCACTATATTAATTTTGAATTAATTCGTGAAAGGAAAGAAAAACATTTACCTACAATCGAACCATACATGTCAGACTTTTCTTCGTGTTATCTGATGTAACATTACACTTCTTGACGTAGATCATAGTATATGGACAGTGCCTGCCAGATCTCTAAACTTACGGAAATGAAGATATTCCAAATATCAAGAAACTTTATCCCAGTTGTAGTTCTCCTATATAAGACTTAGTGTTGTAGAACACGCTAAATCTAAATTTGAAAAAAAAAAAAAGAAAGCTTAAACTCCCATCAGTGCAGATTGTAAGCACTTCTTGACAACCTGTGTATACTTAAAACTGGATGGGAAGAACTGATCATAACAAGAATAAAAGCTTAGCCTGTTAATATTTTTAAAATCGTACATAACTACACACCCGAATCTTTTTAAGCATTACACCCCTATTAAATTCCGCTTTTTCTTTATATAATTTCATGAGTAAATATTTATATTCTTATGTCTTTCCACCCAACTGTGAAAAACGTTCTTTCCATCGGCATTGATACAGTTATTACCTGTTTCATCTTTTTTTAATAAACGTCTTGACGACGAATACGAGAGGGGCACTATATAAGTTACTGAAGATCGTTTTTTATCAGTACTAATAGAATACCTGGTAAAGAATATAGCTCCCTTCATGTAGATCTGTGTAGAATTTAAAGTTCACCTTCCCCATTATGTTCATATGGTAGCATTGAAATCGTCGTGCACTTTTTTTTTATTGAGCATCCACGAGTTGATGTCAAGGCAAAACCATAGTTATCACCTTTCAAAAAGCAAGACACACAACCACCGATTGCAATCATTACGCATAACCATTTTTTTTTAGAGGTTAACCATAATTCCCCTGAGAGAAAAACGGTATTTTTGAGTGTTCAGAGGAGGTATATTGAATATATCGAATTCATTGAATTCATTATCCAAATTATATACTGCAGACTTCGTAGCGATATAAAGCTACGTTAAAATCCAAATCACCCATGCACGCACGAGCAAACTTTCACTCATATTCTGTCTGTACAAGTAAAAAATCTCGATATTTTTTGACCAGTAGGTCTCAGTTATGTGCCTACCATGAGAGACCTGATTAGGGTAGCTTTAACCGGTATCCAGCTTCAAAGATACTTACTCTTCTTAATATCATGTCATGAGTAAATATTTGTGCCAAGCACACTGTTTGGATTGTTAAGTATGTGCCAGGTTTAGAAGTACACGCGAATTGTATAATGTAGCAACAAAAGAATTAGTGGTCTCAGCTCATTTGTGATGTTTCATTGCCATGTCATGTAAGGTAACTGATAGATCTCAGCTCATTTATGATGGGATACTGCTATGTCATATACGATAACTGATATATCTCATTAGTCATACGATACTATTCTTTCATGTACGGTAACTGATCTCATTTCATTAATGATGTAATACACTCTTGTCATGTACGGTACCTGATAGATCTCATCTCATTAATGATAGGCTATTATTATGCCATGTACGGTAACTGATAGATATCATGCTATTAATGATAGAATACTACTCTGTCGTGTAAGGTGACTGATAGATCTCAGGTCATTAATGATAGGATCCTAATCGAGTACGGTCACTGATACATGTAAGCCCATAGGATACTGTGTGTGGTTTTTGGATTTTTAACGTAGCTTTAACAATTTTTAGTCATATCGCTATGATGTCTGCAGTGTGGCATGTTATAGCGATGTTTAGCACTAAGACATCATGCGGCAGACATGTAGAAGTCTTGGGTATGATTCGGCTGGGAATCTAACTCACGACATCCCGCATCCGAGGCGGACGCTCTAACCACTTAGGCCACCGGAGCGGCCTGATAGGATACTGCTCTATCGTGATTGTACCTGGCACATCTCAGCCTGTTCATGATAGAATACTGCTGTAATTTATTATTTTTTTAAAAAAAATACAAGTTTAAGAATAACAGTAATCTTCATCATTTGTCGTAATTTAATATTCAGATAAGCAACTAATTAAGCATAGTTAATAAAGAACCTATAATGTTTCTGAGAGAAATGGCCATCTTAAACCATATTAGTGCATTGGAAGAAAAATTCAAATATATTTACATTGCAAATAAATAATGCGTTTACCATAACGATTAGTATTATCTTTTCCTTTTGTATTTCTAATTTTGAGAAAGGGAAAGAAACAAAAATTATCAGAACAGAACAGCCAGGAACCTTTACTTGTAAAGTCAGGTTAAACGGGCACATGAGTACAGTTTTTACATAAGGACAATAAGTTTGCATAGCGCAGTGAAAATCATTGATGGCAAAATTATTTTATTGTATGTGACCAAAATAAATACAATGCAGGTTTCGTATAAGAATACAAAAGAAGAACAAAGTGAAAAGAACGAAAACAACAACAAAACAAAATTATCCTAGGTAATACAGGAGATAAAAAGGTTAGAAAATACGCGTATGCGTGACTCAGATGATAACACTTTGAGTCGCAGCTGATCTCAATAGAAATTCCAAACAATTCGATATTTTCTGGCTAGTCAGAAAATTAGTGCATCTTTTAAGGGGTCTTTATACGCACCACGGTGAGAAGATGATTCATTTAACAATATTTCTAAGATTGCTACCGATGCACGACGTTTCAGTTTCAAGCGCTTTCTCACTTTTCAAGGTCTTTGGATGACTTTGCTGTGAAAGAATAACAATAGCATACCTGAGCTAATAATTTGATGGCCTAATTGCGATTTGAGGATTCCATCTTTAAGATAACATTCTAATTGTGACCAACTGGTTCTCCAACATTGACATGGTCTGCAATGGTTCTCAACCCTTGTGTACATCGGAAGATGTGGCAGATCAAGGGATATATATATATATATATATGTATATATATATATATATATATATATATATATATATATATATATATATATATATATATATATATATATATATATATATATATATATATATGTATATATATATGATGAATGGTATGGTCAATAGTATTACTAATTCAATGGCTTCCCTATAATTCTCAGTGCATATTTTGTATAATGACGTGAACAAAATTCTTTCTTCCTACTTGGAAATATACTATTTTGAAAATTTGATGAAATTTAGGTACAGTAACCTTAGGACGCTTTGCAGCTAGGTTAATCAGACTCCAGTGAAGATAAAACCTGAATTATGAGATGAAAATTTAATAACAAAGCGATCTAATCATGTAAAACCTATATTTTCCAGTTTTGAATGATTAGTCCAATTTTAAATTTTGAAGTAAAACTAATGATTATGCTCAGAAACTTAAAAAAAAATCAGATGTACTTTCATTTTGATACCTATACAGATCAGCTCGAGATATCCATAGTTCCAGCGAATGAGATTTCTATTTGATACCTATACAGGTCAGCTCGAGATATCCATAGTTCCAGCGAATGAGATTTCTATTTGATACCTATACAGGTCAGCTCGAGATATCCATAGTTCCAGCGAATGAGATTTCTATGTCAAGTCTTAGAACAAGTTTGATATAAGTGTTGGAGCCAACCGTATTCGAACTATTGAGAACTTACTGCAAATATTCGCTTTGATTAAATCCGTTTCAATTGAATTCGGTTGAGTTGGCTCTCCTCAAATGCAGGTGACGCTTTCCTCATTGCCGTTAATATATTCTTGAGGCTTGACTTTGTAATTCTGATCTGGTTCAATCTTTACACATGTTCCATGCATCACATTCTGTATCTTACCTACAGAAAAAAGATAGACTTGTTCTTAAACATCCTTTCTAACAGATGATCTTGTTCATTTCTTTGCTCGTCACACTGTAACCTATACAGTAACATTGGTACACAGATGGGGAGAGGGTTATTTCAGATGTTTCGAAGTATACATGTTACATTTTTGCAATTGCTGATTTGGATCTAATATCCAAATTAAGATACATTATCCTTGCTGTTCACATCACCGTTGAAAAGCCGAATTCATCTGTCCGTACTCTTATGTATATATAATTTAATTATTTGTTTGTTAGTTCTATTATTTTTATTTCATTACATGTTATTGTAATGATAACTTTGTCTAATGGATTTGACATATTTTTTTAGAAATTTAATTCAGTTCTGTTTGACCTAAAATTTTTTATTTTACTGATAAACAACCAGTAGTAAAAACACTGTATCTAGTGGCTGACGTTGATTCAGAACTAGTAAGGTTTCTAGCAAACAACTTTTTTTGTACATTTCTTTTATTCTTTGTAAGAGTAAGATTCAGTCAGTGAAATCAAGGCCATACCTAGAGTACATCCGATAATTATCATGTAGAAAACTTCTACGTTATTCTAGAAAGATGACCAGGTAGCCCTCATACGGGAATTCGTTTTGCATCTTACTGTACAACTGTTTTCTTCAGAAAAATCAGCCAGTTGGGCTTTACATCTTTGACAATTAAAGGTGTTTTGTTGTGACCAGTTTGAGTTGAATTTATATTTTTTTCAAGTGATTATTTTCTCTGAAAATAATAGTGTTCCTTTAAAAATTCTTGGACAAATAGATTTATTGAAAATTATTCGGAATTTCAAACTGTAATATTATTTTTTGTGATTAAACAAAGAAACTGTTGAAACATCACTACAACACTGACTATTGCATACGTCATCGCCTTCCATCTTGGAATTTTTAACAATAGGACTTCTATTTCCTAATTTTTGGATTTGATTGGTAAACAGCGAGTCCTTTTTCTCATTTTTTTACCTTGGTTTTCTAGAAATATAAATTATTTGTTAAATTTTACAAAGCTTGTTGCCTTCACTATTTTCTTGTTACTTTTGTACAAGCCTAGACGCGTAACAATACAGTGATATCTTGCTTCGATGGAAATGCTACAAGAGTGTGTATTGTTGAGATGTATCATTTAGATGTTGAGATGTTCCTTTAAAAATTCTTGGACAAATAGATTTATTGAAAATTATTCGGAATTTCAAACTGTAATATTATTTTTTGTGATTAAACAAAGAAACTGTTGAAACATCACTACAACACTGACTATTGCATACGTCATCGCCTTCCATCTTGGAATTTTTAACAATAGGACTTCTATTTCCTAATTTTTGGATTTGATTGGTAAACAGCGAGTCCTTTTTCTCATTTTTTAACCTTGGTTTTCTAGAAATATAAATTATTTGTTAAATTTTACAAAGCTTGTTGCCTTCACTATTTTCTTGTTACTTTTGTACAAGCCTAGACGCGTAACAATACAGTGATATCTTGCTTCGATGGAAATGCTACAAGAGTGTGTATTGTTGAGATGTATCATTGGGGTCTTTTTTCGACAATAGTTTTACTAGCTAAAGCTTTTTACACATGGCTAGAAAGAGTATCTTTGATTCTGCATTGGACTATCTTGCGCTTACAATAAAGTTTTATTATGTTTATTGCCAAGATCTCAAGAGAGTGGTCAAACGCCCATTGAATCCACTAAGGCTAGATCCTTTTTCAGAAATTGAGAAAAGAATCAAAGGCAAATCAATACATTATTTTTGTGCGCCATGTTTAGAGGGTTAATGTACGTAATTCCTTTCATGAATCAGAGATCAACGTAAGTATACTATTGCTGGTCGCATCACTAAAATGGACATGGTATGGTCAATGAAAACTATTTTAAACAGACTGGTTCCATATTAATACCATACTGAAAGTCTAGTTGGTTACATTAATATCAGTCATGTGAACAAACTAAACCGGCCGAAGCGGAAAATAAACAGTTGAGATCAAAAAGATGAAAATGCACTAAATTGAGATCAAACAGAGAAAAAATGCACTGAATAGAGATGAAAAACGGAATACAAACTGAACTGAGATATAAAAATAGGAAAATGCACTGCACTGAGATCAAAAAGAGGAAAATCACTGAACTGGGATAAATATTGTTAACTCAGTCTACCTGCACATTTTATAAGCAAGCGAGAATAAAACATTTCAGTACTGATAAGTCTATGCTTGTCACGTGGATGACCAGTGGAAATCACACATAGTAGACTTATTTTAAACGAAATAAAATCCGTAATAAGGATGATGCTTTTTGCCAGAGCTGTCTGTTGGTTCCAATAGATTAGACCTAACATCAGTTTGAACAATCAATGAAGAAAGTATTGATTTGATCAAACCAATTGATTATATATATATATATATATATATATATATATATATATATATATATATATATATATATATATATATATATATATGGAACTCTTGTTTCAATAAATAGATGATATATCCATCGGAAACGATTCAGCAAAACGGTATTAAATAACAGTAATTGTAGATCATAAAGCATCGAGAGTTTGAAACATGGCGAGCTTTTGCAGTGTGCCAGACGTGTAAAACAAACTGCACATTAAAGTGTTATCGATATTAAATACACATTGTATGCGAAATTGTTTTGATCATAATTCCTGACTGAAAAGAAAATTACATCCAAAACCATTCGGTATGTTACAAAATGGCTTAGATGGCAAGTTAACAAGGTAAATATAGTGAAGACAATGTTTTATTAAGGTGTTATTTGACATTTCGGAAGAAGTCAAAGCAGAAAAAAATGAATCTTTTTTAATTTCTATTTAAATAAAGTCATAAATCCAATGTAAAAGATTACAAGTCTGTCTATGCTATTTAGCATAAAAGATAATGAAAATCGAATAAGACATTTCAACTTATCTTGGATTATATAAATGAACGGTATATCATCCATTTACAATACAACCTTTTGTTGCAAAGCAGTACCACAAAACGTATGCAAAATCCATCGACCCGAGAAACGATTTTACACAATTTGTTTGAAATAC